AGACATTTTGTCAACACTTCATTTTTAAGAGAGAGTAAGACTTTCAGCAGGTAACAGGAAGGTTTAAGGTCTTTAAACCAAGGTGGTAGATCTCATGTTTTGTGGCTTTGAACTTCTCCAATCAAGGACCATTGTAGATTTTAAATAGAAAGAGAGGATCTACATTCTCTAGAAGTCAGGCGACGAGGGAGATGACCAGAAAAAAAAAGTTGGAAATGCTTTTCCTGCATCAGGAACACTCAAGTTTTACAATTAAGAAGTATGAATTCCCAAATAACAACCCAAAAATCTTTACTATTTCCAATAATAATGTCTTAACTCTATCTTTCCTGTTAAACTGTCTAAGTCAACAGTTGCATCAATATAAAAGAAAGCCCCCTGAGCGATTTTAGACTTATCGCTTTTACAAAACTTGGATAACCCAGAGGCATCACCCATTTGCCCTAAAATAGAGGACTAAAAAAATAGACTCCATTGTTACTCTTTTCCAGCGCCTCTCCTCACCTTTGACCCTATGCTCCCCACCCTCTCCACTTCTTCTGGCCCACCACTTCCCTCCCACTCAGCCATGCATCGTAGGTGGAGTTTCTAAAGGAAGCCCAGGGGCAGCAACAGTGAGAATTCTCAGTTAGAATTTAAGTAAGGAGTCTTTTTCTGCTTGCATCCACCCAAATTTACACAATGAAGTAGAAAAAGGTGGGGTTATAACGAAAAGATCACAATTTTAGATATATAGATATATTCTATGCTAGCTTTTATTTGCTCCCTGGACCTCCTGCATCTACAGCCTATCAGCATACAAAGCTGTCAGCAGCAATACTGACTCATCCCAAAATAATCAGTCGCTATTAAACCCCCAATGTGTAATCGAGCGTTTTTTCATCCCTGGCCAATCTTTTTTTTTTTTTACCTAGTTCCCAAGGCAACCCTTGGTGAACTTTCCACCTGCAGAATCTACTGGAGCTGCATGCAGGTGGAATAAACTTCTGCATGAATCCAAACAATTCAACCCTGAATGGTGGCCCAATTTCACTGGCAACAACTCAATCATAATATCTTATCTACGGACATGCTGACTCACGGAATTCAGCTGCAGCCAATAGCCGAGCGGCAGGGTTACTTATGGCCGACATTGATTGGTCGATCCATGAGCACAAACACCAAAAGGGCACATACCAGAAACACAGCCTGAAGCAGAAACTGGCAGCAGATTGCTCGCGCTTTGTTTCAATCTCACTGCCTCCAAACTGACACCCGACTTTGTTGTGTCACTCTTTTTCCTTTTTCCTCGTTCTTCCCAGAATTCTCTGCACCCGGGCTCTCCAAGGCTTTTCCACATTACCACAGCCCCTTGTTCCTCTGTTGTGTAATTGGAGCCTGGAATGGCAAAACAACAGGCGCTCGTTTCCAGAGGTCACCATTCCCTCTGCGACTCACATCCTGGATCTTCATCTCCATGGTCACACTAAGTCCAAACTATTTTACAGTTGTTTTTCGTCAACGTAAGCCTTGCTTATACTTATTTGCATGAGACGGTTTCTCTGTACAACAAAAGAATGGACATTGGAAATAAAAATACAGTTGGCAAAAGAAGCTTGGATTTCCACTGAAGGATTTCCAAAAAGATTGGAAGTTTGAGGAAAAATAAATACCTGGAAAAAGTAAAACGTCAATTTTTCTTTATGTCTATATGTGTAAATGAAATTATAAAAGGTCTAAAAATCAAGGTAATTGGCAGATATTACAAAATATTGTGCAAATAAACAACTGTTGCCACAAGATGAACTATTAAGCCAACCTTTTACAATGCCGATTTCCTAGGATGACGCTCTAAACAGCAATTATAACAATTTATCAAAATACATTAAAATAATCTAAAATAATTATTGGATCAGAAGCTTTAAGCCTTGTGTAAAGAACTAAAGAACTGATCATGGCATCCTGTTTTATTAATAAAAAAGAAATATACCTGCAGCAAACTGGTTTTACATAAGCCTCCTGCTAATACCTGAATTATTTATTCAAAATCATATAAAACATTAGTATAAGCCCCGCCCCTTTGAGTTAAAAATGCATTATTATTAGTTATGAACGTTAAAGGACTAATATAAGAAGGCTAGACTTCCTACAGCAGTGGACACCACAAAAAAATCCTACACAGCAACTGGAAATGTAAAATGAACCAGACAACAGAGACAGAACAGGACCTCAGTTGGACTGACGCGGGCACACTTTCTAATGGAAATTCAGATACAATCATCCCAGAATGCACTTCTCCCTGCCTAATAATCAGACACTAGAACAAGGCATCCATTGAGAGGAGAGAGTGACAGTAATCTGGTCCAGAGGACTCCAAAGCTGACCACTATAATTAGCTCTTTCTATCCATCAAACACAGACTTATTGTCAAAAATAAAATAAATAAAACAAACAAACAGGGACATTCCTTTGTACTAAAATTGGGAAGAAATTATGAAAGCGCAATTTACACAAGTAGGAAAATTTGTCATGATGAGTGTATAAGTCAGCTCACGCAGGAAGAACGGATGTGAAATCTGCTGATGAGCAGGTAAGAGGCCTATGATTTACCAAGCAGCAGAGTGACAAATAAAAGGAGGGGTTAAAGTGGATTATAGTAGAAAATCAGGTTAGTTCTAAATGATGTGCATTTGTTTTACACCAGAAAAGGTTTTTTTACACCTATATAGAAGATAAACTAGATTTTTGATTTTAGCTCCATGCAAAAACTCTGTACAGGACACCGTCATCCAATAATAAAAACAAAAAAAATGCAGATGCATCTATCCGGCCTACATCCAGAGCCAAGCTTGCACTCCTCTAATCTCAGACGCAGTAAAAAAAAAAAAAAAAACCAAGGCTTCACATCTCGATCCACAGCCCTAAGGCAGAATGTCAGGGGTGAACGTGGGGATCTAGCCTGCTGCCTGAACAAATGGCACAACTATTAGAGGAAGACCAGACTTCCCAGAGAGGTGTGACTGCATTGCAAAGGGGCCAATCAAGCACAGCAGAAGAGAGCTGACAGCTGATAATGCATTTACCTGTGAGCAAAAAGAAAATCACCATATTTCCAGGAAAAGTTAACTTCCTCCTCAGGTTGCTTATCCTAATAGGACCGAAAAGAGACGCCGTATCAAATATACGGAGTCAAAACAGGTTGAGCAAATGAGGGATTATGAGTAACTAGCTTTGCTGGAAGAGACCATCCCATTCATAACACACAAAAACAGACAACAGACAGTTCCTGTTTCTTTTTTTCTTTTTGTTTAATCAGGCAATGACATAGCAGCAGTGGCAGTAAGGACATGCCACTGTTATCTCCCAGCCAGCATCCACTTGTAAAAAAAAAAGGCACTTAAAGTCCAGTAGGACTCTGACAAGGGAGTGGCCGCAATGACCATTCTGCAGCGTAATGAAACTCTGACACATCAGTGACTGATCTAGTAATAAAATGGAAGATAGACTCGTGACAGCAACCGTTCTAAATTGAACCCTTTTCAAATGTACCCTCATATCAGAAAATAGGGAGGCATGTCCTGCCTGTGCCATGTGGGAAGACTCAGCTCATGTGCTACAAAAGGTCTCATTTATAAATGCACCGATCAGGCTGAGACCGGCCAACACCGATTATCAGCGCATAAGGACTACTTTTATAGCGGTTGTAGCTTTGAACCGATCATTATGGATCTACCAGATTGAACTAATTTAATTTCGAAGAATGCACCCCTGGGATCATCACTTTATTTAACCCCCCCAACAACAAAAAAATATAAAAAAATCAACATAATTCAATTAGTTTTATTGTGTTTAATGAAGAACTGAGGGGACAAGGTTAAATAAGATGACTGATTTCTGGCCAGATGTTTAGTCTGTCTGTAGAACTCAAATTTAATCACAATAGTGTTAAGCTTTTTTTAATCAAAAGGTACCAAAAATATGCCTGTGTCACTATAATACCCAGCTATTTGGTAAATGCAATGTTGAGTTTCTTCAGGCCTCAGGATTATTCAGCAATGCAAAGATTTGAAGGGTCCACATTTTTTAAAAATCTCCTTTCTCCTCTTTAAACTCAGTATTTCAACCAGCATGTGTTACTGTGATCTACTCATATATCATTATTAGAATAATCATTATGATTACTAGGAGTGCTTTACATGGTGCCAGCCCTCTGGGGGGGCTGGGTTCACTCTTGTTATTCACAGTGCAAACCAACATGCTCTGCTTACAATTAGATAAACATTTTTTATTTCTGATTTTTAAAGCTTTGTAATAATAACTGGAAAGGAAGAGTGTACATACCATAAGTGCTGCTGTTTCTCCACTCCTTTCTTTTTTTATGTCGCTGCTCTGCCGGTGGAAGACTTTTAGAGCAACAAAAACAAAAAAAGATTTACAAAAAACATGGATTAGTTTTCTTATTTTCTGGTAAACACGCCGTCTGACCCATTCCTCCCAACACTAGGAGCTTCCCCCCCTCCTTATAGTCTGAAGTTTTCAGATACTTTCTCTTTCAAGGGAAAAAAAACAACTTTTTTCTGATCAAAAGCAGATTTTTCTTTTCCAAAATAAAAAATAAAAAAAAGAAAGTCCCGTCCCTTTCACAACGGCTGGAAATGTCTGGCGAGTCGAGAGAAAAAAGCGTTTCGGTGTGTTTTCCTCCTTCTTGGATCACCAGCGCGCTGTTTTCACCGTTTATTATTATTCCCTTTGTTTAGTCAGAAAGAGAAAAAGAAAAGAAAAGAGTCGGTGAGGAAAGCCTGCAGAGCTGTTTCCAGCGTAGGACAGCTTGCTGTGTTTTCCTTTCTCATGTTAAGCCCATCTAGCAGGATAGAGGTGATGACGTTGTGAACAAGTCGATTTTTTTTCCTTCAGCTTCTCCAATAATGGCGGCGGACCTTCATCCACTCAGAGCACAGACTCTCCCAGCGGTTTGTGCTCACTATTACAGCACAATCACACTGCTCCTGATTTGCAGCACAGCCCAACGCCTCTATAGTCTGCATACGTGCATTTTAGGGTTTGTTTTTTTTTCTTTTTTCTTTTTATTAGGTGAAAAAATTTTTTATTTTCGCTGCTATTTACAAAAGGTCAGAGAAAGAGTTTCATTTCCATTTTATATCGAGATATGTAAATCATTTGGGATGTATATCTTAACCTTCCTGTATGGAGGACCAACTGTGCCATATTTAAAAATAAATACAGAAATAAATAAATGCTCAATAAATAAATAAGAATACAATTAATTGTCCTCCAAAATACAATTAACCAATAAATATATTATTCTCTTTTAATTAGCTCCTTTATTTATTAAGTTGACCCTAAGCCCTCCCTCATTTGCATAATGAGGCAGAAACGCATACAGAAATGTAAATACGACAGACAGAAATAAATAGCATTGAAGCAATAAATATGGTTAAAAAAAAAAACACGATGGAAGAATAAAACAGACAAAACTATTATATCATGCACATAAATAAATACTTTAAAAATAAGTAATAAATAAAGAAAGTTGAAGATTATAATGGACAAGAAATAAATAAGGTAAATTTTACAAAGGTGAATAAATAAAGAAGCTAATTAAAGGAGATATATACGTTTATGTCTCACTGTATAATTTCATTTTTACCTACATAATTTGTTTGTTTGGTTTTTTTTTTTGTATTTTCAGGGCAATTAATTGTTTGCTTATTTATTTACTGAGCATTTATTTATTTCTGTATTTATTTTCTTAAATATGGCAGAGTTGGACTTCCATATTCCTGAGCCTCTGGTTCACGGCATTCATTCAGTTAAAATGCAAGATATATATGTATATATATATACACACACATTTACTCATCGCAAGGGGGGATTAGATTATTTTATCTCTCTTTTTTTGTCTGGTTTTGTGTTTGTGAGAGCATCTTCTGTAGTGGTCTGTCTTGCTCAGGAACTGGAGAGGCTTCTGACTGAAGACACTAGTTGCATTTCCATTACAAATGTAAAATTACTTTGATATCTGCCAAATTTTGAAAAGCATCAGTTTTTATTGGTGTCAATAAATTATAGGGTTTCACTGACAGAAATGTAATATATGTTATACATAAGTCTGTTATTTCTTATTGATTGATTGATTGATTGACTTTATTGATCTCACAGTGGAGAAGTTTACTCATTCGTTCATATTTGCTTATCAGGTACAACCTGAAAGTTGCAATCGTTATGTTTTTGTTGCCGTAGAAATTGTTGTTTATATAATTACATATGAGCAGGTTTGGTATTTATGGAGGCAGACATCTTTGTTCTACAGCAGCGTAGAGCTGAAGTAATGACTGTAGCAATCACCATTATATGTGACTGCAGCAAGTTAGGCCTCAATAAAATGTATATCCTACACAGACTGATAAATAGTAATTAGAAAATGTTCTATTTAAAGAAACGTCATCATCATTTGATGAAGGCCACAACGGCCTCCATATTGTTGGGGAGAAGGGGTGGGGGGGAGGTTTCTGTCTCTGCAGTCTGACCATTAGATGTTGCTGAAAGTTACACACTGTAGCTTTAAATAAGTACAAAAATAATCTTTGTAATGTAAACACATGACATATATTTATTCTTCAGTTACGGCTCTAGTGCTCATTGCGTTCAATCTTAGCAAACTAAATGTAAAAAACCCTTAGTCTCCTCATGAATCCAAGTATGCCACGTCAAACTACTTCTGGTCTTCTTCGTCTTTTTACAAGAACAATAAGGACCAGTTGCAGATAACATGACCTTGTCTGATGCGAAAAAAGTGTTTCCATAGCAATTTTGCGACTATAATTATTTCACTGCGACCAAAAAAGCTCCCCATCAAAGTGTAAAAAAAAAAACATGAACATTTTCTTTCACTTGCTTTCCATTTAGGAAATTTATTTTCATTAATACAGTTTCTGCACTTGACGGTTTATGAAATGCAGCGGCTGTTGTTTAACAATCAGGTATGTTGGAATTAGAGTTGGAAATACTTTATTGATTCCAAGTCGTGAAATTACAGACACATGTTCAGTCATGGGCGGTTAGAAGCCCCTCCCAGCCAATCATAGGCCACACCTACCAGGTGAATTGTCGTTCAATTGCTTCATGATGCCTCTGTGATATTTTCTGGTCACCAGTGGAAATCTTTCATGGATCATACTGATACACTCAGATGAATGAGGCCTGTAGTATTTGACATGTTGTTTTGGATTATTTTTTGACCCCCTGGATGGATTTTTCACGTCTTTAGCTTGGTCATAAGGTGTAATTTGGTTAGGCCTGTTTCCTGGGAAAAAGGACCACTGATTCATGTGCTCTAAGTCGCTTTACTGGAGTCCCAGAGCCTCAGAGATGGATGTGTTCTATTCCTCTTTTTTTTTTCTCTTGTTCTGCAGTTCTTTCAATAACCAAGCCTGGGTGTGGCCTAAGAACAGTGCAAAAAAAAAAAACGATGAATAACCTTAGTTAATTCATGAGTTAACAAGCAGCTCATTACTTGAACGCATTTTGTCGGCTGTTTGCATAAATCGTTTTTCCCTTAATCAAAGACATTGTCATTTAAAAACTGCATTTTGTTTTTACTTAGACTATCATTTTGATATTAAAATGAGTTTCACGATTTAAACCTAAGAAGTGAAACAAAAAATATGTGAATATAGGAAATTTGTGGTGAGAAAAGCTCTTTAACTGCAATGTAGATTTTTCTTCCTAAAGGTTTCCCTTTTTACATATAAAAATATTTATATTTTGAGCAGTTAATCAAATAAGACCTTAAAGTGCACCTCAAAACTCAAATCCACTGTTTTTAGTTTGTGTAAGATTGATCTACATAGGGCTATTTTAATGTTACTGTTCATTATCCGACATTGTAATGGGAGATCTTTTACTGCAATTTCATCTCAAAACATTCTACATGCTGGGAAAGTGGTTTAATGATGGTTGCTTATGTTAAATGTTCCTATTGGTTCAATATGCCTACGTCTCAGGTACAGACATTCATCAACCTCCCTTAGCAATTCAATAGCTACATAATTTCTTACTTAAAAATAAATCTTGAAAATAATTGCTTGCCTTAAATAACATACTGACAGATTTTTCTTACTTTTACACTGTGATTATACTGACTATACCAGATTTCAAAACATGAATACAAATTTCATCCAAGTTATCATAATGAAGCAACGATTCTATAAATATCTCAAGTATTTCAGTTCAAAATATTTTTATTACCTATCCTTTCCTCATGTGTCACACATACCACTTCCATTCTTTTGCAGATGATCCACTTTCTCGTGCACAAATTCAAACATTAGTCCTTTTCTGACACACTTGATTTGACTGTCCCTCCTTGATTCTTCACCCAATGAAGAATCCACCTGATGACTCCGACCTGAAGCCTAATTTAGCTGCTGCAGCAGCAGAGAGGGGAAATATTTCCTTCCTGAGAAAATCAATCATCTCAAAGGTTAGTCTTAATTGCTTGAGTTGTGCTCAGAGTCCTTCATTTGATAAAAGAATTACAGTGGAGAGGTTGGTACTTTGATAAGTTCAGCCAGTGAATGATGAATAATTTAATCTTCTGAGGCTGTCAGCGGAGCTCTACTTTATAGAAATGACTGCAGAGTCACACAAGAGCTCCGACAGATGTTTAATGTCTTATACTTGGATCCTCTTATGAGTATTTTCTCTGTCTCCCTCTGTTAGTTCTTCAACTTCCTTAAATATGCCATTCTTCTGTAATCCTTTTAATATTGAATTATTCTTTATGTACCCTTACAACCAACTTTATTTAACTTTTATCTTATTTGTAGAAGAGTTTGAGCTTTTATTGCATGAAATGTGACTTTTTATTAATGCCGACAAGCAGTGTTCTGAGTAAATGCACACTTTGATGTCCAGTCACATTGCTTGCTGTATTTTGGCAATGTTTGCATGACCCCAATGGACTGAAGCTTAGTTAGAAGGGGTCAAAGTTTCTTCTGGATAACCTGCCTCTGTATTAAAGGCCTTTTTCTTTTGTTTTTCTCCCTTCTTTTCCTGCTTCAGATGTAGTTTTATGACACTCTGTGCTATCAAGGTAATTTAATCTTGCTTAAAGATTGCCCCAGTTATCGTTATTTTATGAAGTGAAGCACATTACTGCCAAAATGAGCGTTGGGAGTTATTTGGAAGAAAAATCTTTTTTTGTCGAACCACTAGTTAGCTTCCGCTAACATTGTTTTTCTTTGGCTTTTGCTATTCCACCTCAGCTCTTTTCAGAATTTGCAGCTGACATATTTCCGGTCCCATAAGTCAAGCACATTCCTTTACTCAAAGTTGTGCAATCCCTGACAATCACAGTCCACCACCTCCCCTTTTCCCTGAGACTCGTTATACGCCCAGAGTGCTCACAGGGCAAGCTGTCCAAACTGTCTGGGTTATGTCCTCCAGTGAGCTGGCAGCCCAGCCTGACTTGTATATAAACACTGAGTACTAACTCTGTTGGCTTGAAAAAAGCAACAAATAATAAATTTTAAAACACAGCAGATATTTATATGAAGATCTACACACAAACATTAGTACACTAGGCTTTTTCTATGTAAAAGAAAATATGGTTAGTATGCTTGGGTAAAATATTTCAGAATTTTCTCAGCTTTTAATAAGTATACTTGTACTTTTCAGTTGAAAAAAGGTGAAATTAAATGGTTGGATAAGTTTGCATATGAGGATTTGTTTGGTGAAGAAGTGAAAGTTTAAATTTGTGTTGAACAGTAAGTCTATATCTAAACAGGTCTAAGTGAGGTTTGTCTGTTCCAGAAGGTTTTCCCCCATATTTTCTTTACTCCATCTTGGATTCAAAAACATTGACCATTGGAGAACTTCCACGGCATCTTGTCAAAATGCATCCGCTTGGGGAAAATCACAGAAAAATGTCCACGATTTTTAAATATACCATGAAACACCATAAACTCAATTATCTTCAAGACGAAAAAAAGTTTTTTAACAAATGAGGAGTAAGGAAAAAAAATCCAAGAGGCCCACGGTAACTTAAAAAGAGCTGCAACAATCTATATGTAATGTATGTATAGTACATCTATATACGGTAGGTTACAGGTTTTAATTTCTGTAAAAATGGGCAAATATACAGCTCCTCTTTTTAGATGAACCGTTACTGGCATTTGGCATTATGGCTGAAACTACATATCAGAATCAGAATCAGAATCAGAAATACTTTAATAATCCCAGAGGGAAATTACTTTTGTTACACGCTCTAGTTACAGTTTTACATGATATATACACACATCCAACTATACAATATAATAAAGATAAAAAATAAGAATATTGTATCTTTAGTGCAGTGGCCTTAACTCAAGTCCTTGAGGGCAGGTGTCCTGCTACTTTTAGAAGTGTCCCGTCCCCCATACACCTGAATCAAATAACTAGCAGCCAAGCTCTGTTAATTACAGTAGGTCAGAGACAAGTAAGCTTTACTGCTGCAGAAAAACATCTAAAAGCTGCAGAATATTGGCCCTCTGGGATTTGAGTTTGAGACCACTTTTTTGGGGCAAAAACAATATCATCATTAAAATAAAAAACAAGCTCCCTGTGAAGCATGGTGGGGGAAGGATCATGCGATGGGTGCTGCTTTTTGTAGCTGGAGCTAGGACTTTGGTCATTAGCAGTTCCATACGTGGGGCAATGATACAGCAAAATCTTCAAGCTTGTGTTTGAAAGATGAGAGAGAAGTGGAACATCCAAATACATCCATATCAAAATTAGAGCTAGCCTGACACAGACTGAATTACATGGAGCGTAATTGATACAAGTTTACATGTTGGATCGTGGCTGGCCAGGCAACATTAGAACAGCTTCAATGACAGAAAACCTGAAACTTCTTTTTTTATTTACTGCTTAAAATCATCCACTTGGTGTCAAACAATTTTCCAGAATTGAAACAATGTTGCAGTTTTTCAGTGTGGGAACCTCCACTGTTTATCGTTGTGCATGTTATGCCTGCATAATAGGGTTCATTATACATGTGTCTAATATTGCAATATAATTTGGTACTTAGTCAAAAGTAATATTTGATAATAATAATTTTGATAATAATTCATGTGGATTATATTCTGAAGTGCGCTGAAAGTGGATAATATGTTTGGTCAGTGGAATGGACTCTAGCTGCCCTTAATTCCCACACCTGTTGTACATTTTACTGGCTGAGATGTTAAGGGAAAGTGCTCTGGTGGTTAAAGATCAGTGGTGTCAAAGGTACACACATTTGTTACTTAAGTAGAAGTATAGATACTGCAGTTTAAAAAAAAAAAACTCTGGTAAAAGTTGAAATATCAACTTGACCTCTTTACTCAAGTAAAAGTGAAAAAGTATGTGCGCCAAAAAATACTTAAACTATAAAAGTATAGCGTAAATTCTTTAAAGAAACAGCCAGATGCCACTTTATGAATTGAAAGCTCACTTTTTCGACTATTTTGAAAAATTCTTTGAGATAGGGCCAAGGATGAGGGAGGTCTTGTTGGTCTCCATCTCCCGATACGCTCTCACCTGTGTCCGACCTTTCAGACATTTCAACATCAATAAAAACACTTGTTTTCACTTAACGGCCAGCCTAGATATAATACGTAGATAACATATTTGTTTCACTTCTATGTTTCAGATAAAATATGTTTTTTTATTTGTTTTGGGGGTATATAAACAACAAAATGCCACAGCAAAAATAATACTGGATAGTTATGCTTTAGAATAACACACCAGTCTTTTCCTAATTTCATGAAGTGAAGGGTATAATAATGTTTGGATTTCAAATTTTCTCATAGCTAACCAACATACTGGTAGAGTTCTATTTTCAGAAAATATTAATTCGTTATTAAGGTCAAGGCGAAAAGTATCAATACTCTCCATATGAGGAATTACGTATGGTTGTTAGTTTTAAAGAAAAGCTGTAAAGATTGTATATTATTATTGTAAGTTACTCTAAGTATTTTAAATAAAATTTCAATAGTTTATGGCAGACTGCTTCTCATGTGACCGTCTACGCAACTCTACGAAAGTACTTCAAACGGGACCTATGGGCTTTGTAGTTTATAAATGAGAGCTAGTAGTTTCTAACTGCGCTACAGAACCACATTTCCCATCATGCAACATTGGTCAGCGTTGCGTTCCACTTCCTGTTAGCTTAGTGAAGATAGCGGACGAGCGGTCGAACGAAGAAAAAACTGATGTGTTAGTGTAAAATTGCTGCTTTGCTGCTCGGGAACGCGCTAATTTGGAGTTTTCTAGGACTATATTCAGGAGACAAAAATGGTAAATATGTGATTTATATGCTTTGTTGTACTTAAATTCAGTTGGTAGTAGCATTTTGCTACCGTTGGAGGGTTGGACTTATAAGCTCTTCATTCAGTCAACAGAAAGATAAAACCTCGGCGAATGTTTTATTCTAAAACATGACACCTACAGCTAAAGTAGCTCAAGAATATTTTTGAGTTGAAGGATTTTCTTCTAGTAAAACCGTGTTTTGTTGAATAAGTGGGTCTAGCAATTTATAAAGAGCTAGGCTAACACTTGTAGTGTTAACCCGTTACTAATTTCAAAACCTGACACCACTTTTGAGTTTTTGTTTGCCCTATGATGTTAGATGTTAAAATGGGTTTTTGTATATATTTATGTTTTCTTGTTTTACGCTGGAATGATGGAGGTGGTCAGTTTGTACTATTTTCGACGCGGGTTAACTAATTTTTATCTTTTTGTGATCCTTCGGTCGTGCAGATCCGCTTCATCCTCATCCAGAACCGAGCAGGGAAGACACGGTTGGCCAAATGGTACATGCAGTTCGATGATGATGAGAAACAGAAGCTGATAGAGGAAGTGCATGCTGTGGTCACTGTCAGGGATGCTAAGCACACCAACTTCGTTGAGGTGAGGGATTTGTCTCTGCTTGATTTGATGTCTTATTCATGTCACAATCTTCTTTTCATCAGGCCAATGTTTCTGTACATTTGTTAAAGGTTAGTTGTTGAAGGATCATGGCTAACAGTCCAGATTAACATAATTATTATTTTCCAACTAAGATGTGCAAATATACACATGTTCTTGCTGAGACACTAATTATTGTTTGTCCTTAAAGCAAAACTTGCATCACTTTGAAATTCGTTTCCTTTTGAAAGAAAATGACATTTTATTTAGCTGTATTTATCCTTCAAAACTGCATTAATTATTTTGACAAAAATATACAGTAAAAAATGCTGCTACCTGCTTCTGGATACAATATTAATTAGGCTTATCACCCAGACTCAATACAAGTGTTGTTGGCTTATTTTAACCGTTGATTTAAGATTGTTTGTGCATTAAAAGAATAAAACAGCAGAAAACCTTAAGATATTGCTAAAGTGTGTTATAGCTTGGTTACTTATTTAGCAGTTTTTCATCTTAATAAAAATACTTCTATGCCTGCAATTACTTGCCATTTCTATCCCCACTGTATCAGCAATAGTATTGAGTACTGGATATTTTCCTGGGAATAGATTGGGAACGTGAGATTTTAGTATTGTGACAACCGTCTTACATACAAGGAATTTAAACGTAAAGATTTTAAACATGAAATGTTTTTATAGAACCACTTGCATTTTATTAACTTTTGCTGTTAACGTTTATCTGTTCACCACTGTAATAATCAACAGGAATCTAAAATGTCCTCACAGATATTGAGAAATTTATGTCAAAACTTTCTAATGTTAATTCAGCAGCTTAAATAAGGATGCTTTATTCTCCATATTTGTTCTCAAACTGTGAGACGAGCCGCTCTGTGACTGGAGGTGAACTTGACTGACTCACAGAGGTTACACATTAGAAAATTCTGTATTCTATATATTTTCTAAATATAATTTATAAAACTAAATGGTGTCTAGCAATATGGATTTCAGTGCATTGATTAAAATAATGGATCATGTTGACCTGTAACGGCAGTTTTGTACACAGAGGAATCCTACAGATGTAAAAAAAAAACAACAAAAATTTTTTTTTCACTTTGGTTCAAATATTAATCCGCTGAGCAGAGATGTAGAAGAAAATGACTGAACTCACTTCATTTGGATGCAAACATACCTTATAAAAATTTACTTTTTTTTTTTAAATAAGGGCTTTCCTACTTTTTTTAATTACTGAAAAAATGAGTCCCTTTTTCTTTCACAGTTCAGGAACTTCAAGATCATTTACCGGCGGTACGCTGGTCTCTACTTCTGCATCTGTGTGGACGTGACGGATAACAACCTGGCATACCTCGAAGCCATCCACAACTTTGTAGAGGTAACTGAAACTCATGTGGTGTATAGACAGGAGGTGAACTGTGATGATTTAGTTGTTGTGGTCTGATGCTTTCCAGGAATGTCTCAAGAGGATCCCCCCCCCCCTTTTTTTTTATGTTGACTATAAAACTTGAACTATTATTTCTTTCTATTTTTATTGATTTAAAAAAAAATAAAAAAATTTTTTTCTTTGATGCTGATGAAGGGTTCTCTGTCTGACAAAAAAGTCAGAGGAAAGTGCATTTACTCCTTCTTTTTTCCAGGCAGGGTCTTAGCTGCACCTCAAACAGCTGCACAGGACTCTGCTGATGCCTGAACAGGTGCTGCAGGGTGATATCTGACTCAGACCTCGGGACGGTTACAATACGCAACCAGAAAAAAATCTGAAAGAGGGGAGAAACGATTGATGTTACACCCCAGAAATGTTTGTGTCCCTGAAGAAAACATTATCAGCCTCGTTCTGTTCCTTGCAAAGTCATTCTCATAGAAGTAAAAGAATGAAGGGGAAACTAATTTTTTTTTCTATCTCTCTGTAAAGGCTCTAAAACTAAATGTAAATGTAGAGTCTAACAATAACATGGTTAGAAAACTTTACACACTATTAATGTATAAAATCAAACTCTTAACTCCTGTTTATGTTTCTTCTGTTTTCATTTTTCTTTTTTTCTGTCTCTTTTCTTTTCTCATCACTGGGCTCTTTAGGGGAGTAGATCCAGTAAAATCATACTAACAGACTGTTTAGAAGCTTCCTATCTAAGAAAACCCAGCAGATTACTGCTGTCCCAAAATGATTTGGATTTNGTACAAGCAGCAAAAATGAAGCAGCAGACGCGATTTTGCTGCTTTTGCTGCCCCCGGTGTGAACGTAGCATAACAATAACATGGTTAGAAAACTTTACAAAAACTCTTAACTCATGTTTATGTTTCTTCTATTTTCATTTTTCTTTTTTTCTGTCTCTTTTCTGTTCTTGATGAACTGATATATTTGCGTGTGAATCGTATTGTGGTTGTTGAAGTAAAATGCTTTTTTTTTTTTTCTTTTTTTAATTCCTCTTGGATGGTTTGATTCAATTGATTTTACTTGTATAGCACAAATTAACGACACATGTCATCACTGGGCTCTTTGCAAAGTAGATCCAGTAAAATCATACTAACAGACTGTTTAGAAGCTTCCTATCTAAGAAAACCCAGCAGATTACTGCTGTCCCAAAATGATTTGGATTTGTAAAATAATTTTGTCCCATTTGCATAATTTACACTAAATCATGCATTATAGGCCACTTGATGCGCTGTGCCGTCTTGTAAAGGCGCTGATATTTTCTGTGTGCTGCAGCTTTTCAATCACTTCTCTATGATGAATAGCGACATTAAAGTATAATATGAAAGGAACGCAATCGGCACTTATGCAGATTGATGAAGAGATCTTTTTACTCCTCAATATTCTTGGCTTATTTTAATCAGCACATAGATTTGACATTTTTCCCTGTTCCTCTCTGTTTCTCTTGAAGGTGCTGAATGAATATTTTCACAATGTGTGTGAACTGGACCTTGTGTTCAACTTTTACAAGGTAAGATTATTTTCACGTTGATACTGTGGTGATATTTGTTTATGCTATTACAGATATCAGAATCCAACTCTGTAGCTAAAATCCTTGAACTCCTTTAATCGTTGCAGCTTATCACTGTGTAAAAAGGGCTGTTAGTCGGTGCGGTTTGTAACATTTTGGGAACAAAGGGAAGAAATTACACTGCTTTTAATGTTTATTGAAGATTTCTAAAAATTACTCATTAAATTTTTGTTGCAGTATTTAAACATTACCAAATATTCTGCAAGGTTTGAGCAGAGGGTCCTTTAACCATTCCTACTGGCACAGGAACATTCAGAGACCTGGGTCGTCTCTTAGGTTAGGGGATAGATATCCTGGGGTTCAGTTTCTGTGGAGGAACCACCTGACTTTTAATGAAAACCTCCTGGTATTTCAAATGGTTGCTATATCGGGAGTTTTTGGGACCTTTGGTACATACAGTGACCCAATGACCTCCTCCTTATATATCAGTCATTTGTTTGACATTTTGCTACTACTGATAAGTGGCTCAAGGACATAGTCTCTAGCCAAAGCCACACGTTGTTTATCGTATTGTTAGCATTATGACATCATCAACCTGAGTATCCTTGTGTCAGGGTCTGACCTACTTTCTGTGTTTCAAGGTGTACACTGTGGTGGACGAAATGTTCTTGGCAGGAGAGATCAGGGAAACCAGTCAGACCAAGGTCCTGAAGCAGCTCCTCATGCTCCAGTCTCTAGAGTAAAAGGTTTCTCCCTCTTGCCCACCGATCTGCAGCCCTGGCATTCAATCCTAACTTCTTCTGTTTCTATTCGTCCGAAAAGCAACCACGCCCCTGCTCCCACAGAGCCATCTCTTAACCGAAACCCAAGCAGGAGCCATTTAGAAAATATACTTAATATTGTTTACATATTGTTATTGAAGGTAAACTAGACTGTTTGCCATAGACGTATATATATTGCAATATTCTGCACCTGGAACAGCTGTTATGGTTTGTAAGCGAACAGAGTATCCTTCCACTTGTTAATGTTTCAAATCCTAACCAAGTGGGAGTCTTCTTTGTGTTCTGTTTGCTTCCTCTCATTCAGTGGGTGCAGAAAACATATGTAGTAACCAGAAAATCAATACATTCATGTTATCGCACTGTGGAGACTAGTATGAAAAGCTTCACCCCTCTTCTGTTGCTCATTAACCTAAACATTTATCTAATGGCACTACTTTAGCTAACAAGCACCAGAAATGTGGACCACAGATGATGATGGTTGTGTAATGAAAACTTGCTGTAGCCTTGCAGTCAAAATGAAACGGCCGTGAGAGTGTTACAGTGCTCCTCAAGGCTCATTAGCATTTATATCCAACTCTCATTTCAAGTAGAAAGCGCTTAGAGCAATTAACCCAGCACAGCCAGTTTATCACTGAACAGTTATGCTAACCTAGGCTGTCAGGCATCATTCTAAGATGATATGATGGCTTATCAGTGACCGATTTTCATTTAAATACTAGGTGCTTGTTGGTCCCTCTTAAAACACTTCAATGAAGATGAAACTTGGACATGCAGTGTATTTTACATAAGGCAGTTATGTGATGTTAGCTTGGTATGGTCTGTGTGTTAATACAGTGCATTTTGTGTGAATTATTGTGAAATTTAATCATAAAAAAAGTTGTTCTGACGTTATGGATCCATACATTCCTTTGGCACTGCATAAAGCTGAAATACATTTTAAACTCCCTTGTGAAGTTGGATAAAACAATCTGCTTTTATACATGTGTCTTTGCTGGACTTAAATATATGAAATTGAAAATGTCATATTCTAATTTTAACCATATCTAGTTGCAAACCTGGTCTCATTTTATTATTGATTAAACAACAGTGAACAATGTACCACTTCCCTACTTGTGAACCTATAATATGTGTCTAGCTGAACATCTGTAAGCCCATTTTTTGTGTAAATAAACAAATTGATCAGACTGTTTCATTGGTGTATGTGAAGAGTCGGGGTGATTGGTTGTCATAAAACACGCATTCTTACATCTGAAATCATTTTACCTCTTGTCAAGGTGACAGAAATTTTCTTCAGTTCATTTTATCTCCACTGTAGCACTGGTCTAAAACATTTTCTTTTGAATCTTTCAAATGAAAATTTGAAGCATGGATTGCATTTGTGTTATTTGCAGTTTACCAGACAAATCTAAAAACAAAAAAAAAACACCTGTCAGTAAAGTATTTTTTAAATGAGAATGTCCCAACAACAAACCTACCAAGAATTGTTCCTCCATCTAAGGTAACTGGTCAGAACAGCTTAGAGTTTTGCACTCGACGTCTGGCTTTTATGCAGAGTTGTAGAAAAATCCAGGCAAACTAAAATTGAAATGTTGCCTTGGGTCATGGAGGTGACAGAGCAACCAGCTCTCTGGTCAAACTAAACAGTTTTTTCAGCATGTAAAATACTAGGTATAATGGAAAACGAAGCTTGCACACCAACATAATAAAGCAGGGTGGTGACAGCATCATGATGCTTTAATTGAGCAGGGTTGAGAAAGCTGATCAAATTTGATTTGAAGATTGATGGAGCTAGACACAAAGCAAACCTGGAATCGGGTAATAGAAAAAAAACTATCTTGACTGAATTATTTGAGACTAAGGTGGAGGATCTCCCTTCATTATCATTACTCCCAATCCCACAACTAAGATGTTTTAACCCTGTAATGCCAAATGTATCGTATTTGATAGATACGGTTTGTGAAATGTTTTGCATCTGACACCTTTTGCATAATTTAATGGTAAAAACTTTGCACAAAATCCTATTGTACAGAATCAGATATACCTGATAACAGGGCAGAAGACTACAAAAAAATAATCTTGACTTATTGCATAGTAATAAATTATTAATATCAAAAATCTATTTCTGTTTTTTTCTTTTGACATATTTTGTTAAAAGGCCAAATAAGGACTTCAAACCAAAAAAAGAAAAACGAATATTCTGTTTTGTTTTATTCTTGGATCGGGCTTTAAAGGGTTAACTACCCAGCTGAGGTGTTAGCCTTAATAAAAATCAAATGGTAAGACTGATAAATTGGCAAAATTATACAACATTTCATACCATTTCAGATAAAAGTCTTAAAAACACTGAACTGTTTGCTTTTAACTACTTTTACTTGCAAAAAAAGGATAAAGGACCATCAGGTACCAGATATTTTTCTAGATACAATTTAGCACCATCTAGTGGTCAAACCTCATGTCATAAATCAGGCTGTATGGTTATGAGGTCATCTCGACAGCAGGTGTACAATCAATATATCAGTCAATGTACCCACTTCAACAACATTAAGCTCCCCCTAGTCGTTACACTATCGACCTGGGAGCATAAATCCAGACAATTGGACACGGAGGGCATTCACTCTTTATCGTGTGCGACTTCTGATATCCTAACCTCAACCTGATGGCCTTTGAGAGAAACGACTCGGAAGAAGAATGGCAGGCTGAGCAAATGAATCAACTACTGAGAGTCCATTGTGAAATTTCATGCACCATCGAGCCAACTGCCGATAAATCTGAATTGTAGACGCTGCTCACATTTCTTCATCCAGGGGGAGGGCGGCTGCAGGGGGACTGGTTTATGCCCCAGAACTCATTCACATTAAAGAGAAAAATAAATCAAATGACGCTTTCAATGAAAAACAAGCAGTTTATTGGGAATTGCATAATTAAAACAATGAGCAATACTCAACCTCATAAGACAATAGACAAATCTTATTTACAGCTTAGGTTATACTTAAAATGTACACATTTGGGCAGCCTTTATCACATCATTTACAAAACAACTGAGTCAGGGTTGTGTTTACCAATGGAGCAAGTCCAGACGAATCAAGAACTTATGCTTTCATTGTCCTTCTGATGATGCTTTAAGAAATAAAAAACACGTATAAATGCAAATTGAACTCCCATTTAGTTGCATTAAAACAAGAAATAATAAATGTGTATAAACAGGAGGAATCGGCTGCTTTCTCACAGTCAACAAGGGGAGTCAGCAAATACAAGGAGACCGAAGTTAGGAATCTCAGTTGTTTTACAATATGAGCTGATAACGTCTACATTAAAATCTTTATTACAGTATACTTTTCAAGTAAAATAAAATGTACATTTCTATAGTTACAGCATATTAGGAAATAAAACTGTAAAAGTGCACTTCAAGAGAGGACAGACTCGACTGATGTAAAGCAACACATTTTCACTGTTTGACTTTTGATATTCTAAAACCATTGTGTTTGCAAAGACTCACTTTGGGATAAATGTCTACTATGAGGCTGGAGGGGAAAAAAAAACAAAAAACAAATGAGGATAAAGAAATATATCAGCTGGGAGCATGTTTGGATTTAGCCTCAGGACAGGTTGCACCTTTAACTTTACGTTTATTAAGTCATGATATCTGACTCAGTGATCCAATGACCAAGGAAAGCCACTTACCCTGGAAAGTCAGGAATTCTTTTTCCACAGAGTAATGAATGACCTGAGTTGGCTCACTTAAACTGCAAAAGCAAAGATGTTTTCTACAACTGTTTTTCTCTAAAGCTGGATTATTTGTTAAAGAGTCAGACAAGTTAAAATATCTCGAAATTGGATGTAAAGTCTTGATTGCAATGGGGAGAGAATATGCTGGAACTGCTGTGTGGAATTAAAGCAGCTCTGGTTTTTGTTTGGATAAACGATTACCGTCTCAACATATTTTTGTTTTCCGTTATTTTAACTTTTTCCTTGGGAAATAAATCCCCCTCCAGGATTTCAACTCTTAATCTTAGTTTCGTTTCAGATTCTTTGGAAAGCAATTTTGGCATTTTGTATTTCTAGTCCGTTCTTAATATTTCTACTTTAAAGGTAGGTTTGGTCTTTTTGCAAAAAGTATTTTTTGTACATTCATTTTGAAAATAATTCTGATACAGTTTGTTTTGTCCTCGATATTCTATCTTTTTTCCCTCATTTTTAAAATTAACTTTCAAGATATGACTTTTTTACCAACCTATCACACTTCTAAATATACATAGACTCTATTCTCAAATGGTTTTTTTTGTCCAGATGACTGTAATAGTTCTTCATAGTGCGGATCAGATGCTTCAGCTAATCATTTGTACGCCTGCAAACACGTAGAATCCTAAATCATCATTGCACCCTCACAACCAGGCATTATTAAACGATGGCAGAGCCTCATGCAGAATCTGAGCTTCTATGACAGAACTGTGCTTACCATCATCACATTCCTGGTCCAGCATTAGCATGTAGAGCAGCAGCAATACTGCTTTGAATAAACACACTAATAAATCCTAATATTCCACTAAATCGGGACCAGATGTCACAGAAGTCTGGACGAGGTCATTCTCTAATGAGGCTCAATCTTTGGATGTTTGAACCTCTGGAAATCAATCATTTCCTTTTTTGCTGTGCTTTTTGCTTTAAATCGGAGCGACAATTTGCCATAAAAACAGCTTAGGTCAGAAATTTAAATACTGTCAACATTAGCATGACGATCCTTCATTTTAGGCCCAAAATAATTTAAATCAACTATTTCCTGTAGGGTATATACAAGTATACATGTTTAGAACATAAAACTTAAAGGATCTTAAAAAAAAATTATTTGGAACTTAAGTTTTTGTCTAATCTGTACATATTTAAGTTGTACATATAGGTTCACATATATACATGTACCGGTATTCTAAATAATATTTGAAAGACTGTCATTTATTAAGCTGCAGAGACTGCACACTTTCTAAAGATCGACAAGCTTCTGCAGCAACATGGACTGGATACTGGAACGCTCATTTTGGCTGATCTGGTAGAGCGCATTTAGGTACAGATCCAAGCACATAAAATACGTTTTAAATAGGGTTGATAAAGTGAAAAAAAAAGGTATTTGTAAGTTTTATTGATTTAAAACCCACTTTTGATGATTATTTGTGATATTTCTTTGTATTAAAAGTTCTGAAAAAAACTGTCAGCCCCAATGAAATGAAAAAGGTAGAATTTTCCAGAGGGTTAATATAATCTAAAGGCAGCTTGTACAGCAGTATTTAAGAAACGAACACCTGCAGCAGCGTCATGACTTTAAGGCTTATCTGAAGTTAGAGCCGCGGCTTTAACTGTTTGACCTCTAATGAGGAGCATGTTTAAAGAAGTTATAGTGAGACTTACAAACCAAAGAAAATGGTGTTGGCAGCATTGTGCTGTGGTCTGTTCTGTTATAATATATGCTGATGTATTCCCTAAAGTGGATTAAATAATGAAGATTGTTGACTAGCCCTAAATTCCTTAACTTTTTATCACATCAACAGTTAGAAGGTTGAAACCTGGACACAACAGGATGGTTTAATGGGACAATGATTCAGAACACATCAATACTGGTTCAGGATTGGATAAAGCTTCTGGAATGGTTCTGACTTCAACCCTACTGAAAACATATTAGCTGTCCTTCAAAGCTGAATCTGTGCTAATTAAATTAGCTTTGATGTTTCTAAAAAGAGGAATGAAACATCCAGATAGTCTTTCATTTTTCGAATCCAGACAGGGTTTATTCTTATAAACATTTCCAACCCTGTCTGGATTATAAAAATCCAAACTTGTGCTCTTCATTTTTTTTTTAATTGTTGCCATTGTGTGATTACATTGAATCTATCCAAGAAATAAAAAAGATCCTAGTTAATACAGGCGGTTGATGAAAGGATGTAAACTTCTGACCGAAACTTTCGATTTATCTACAATAACAAAAAGCCACACCTCTACATCATCACATTTGGAACGAACAACCTGAGCAGTTTCCACTTCCAACTCTTTATGATTGCACAATTTATATCCACCTGAACCCACTGATAAACACCTTCAATTTTCTGGTTTTCTGGGAAGGAAAGATAATTACTCGTTAATAACCACAGATCTCTTTGTGTGGATTTCTTGGGGCATTGCATGTGATTGACACCTGAACGCAAGAAGTCAAACTAGAAAGAAGAGGACCTCCTTTCAGAGTGCACATTTAGACAGTTAATCACATAATCACTATCTGTTAAAAACTGTTAGTTGACTAATCACGAGGCATATCAGCTGATTTAAATGCTTCAAGTAGCTTCACAATCATCGTTTACAGTCAGTGATGTGCAAATGCCGAAAACATCTTAGGATTGCTTAAAACCAGCGTGGAACAGCAAAGAGAAGAAATAACAGCATAGAAGCTCATACAGACAACCTCTGACATGAGGGAGCGTCTTCTCTGAGATCCAACCGTCTTCACTCTGAGATGCAGGCTCAAACCTGAACCACTCAGGTTAAGAGGCTTACCAGAGGTCATAGGTCAAAGTAGTCCTCCCACCAACACTTATCCAGGTGATCTAAAGTGTGTGAAACCACAGCCACACACACACACCCAAAAACACCTGGAGATGAGCTGCATAAGAAACGGATCGTCGTTAGTTTCAGGGGAAGCTGGTTTCCACTGAGGCGCCTCGGTTCATGGCGTTACCTACCTGGAGGGGGCATGCTGTCTGTTTGGGCCTGTGAGATCAACTAAGCAAGGAGTCCATCCCTAGCAGTTACATTGCTGCTTGTTCTGTGTCGTCGTGCCTCTCGGCTGTCGAAGCTGCCTCAGTGACGCGTCTCCATATTGGATACCTGAGCCCATCCTCTCTGGGTCCAACTCCCCTTCAAAAGGAAACCAAAATGATAAAAACTCCCCAGTACTTGCTTTAAAAATCTAATTAAATATAAACAAAAACATGTGCAAACTCTTACAGAACAAACAACTTTAGAGTGTACCTGAATCTATCTTGTTGAGGATAGTGCGAGCACATTTCAAAAATCCCTCCTCCACGTTTTCACCTGTCAGGGCGCTCGTCTCCAGAAACATTAGCTCTGTGTACGGACAGGAACATTATACAAGGTAAAAACAGGACAAGAGGGGCAAATAAAAAAAGTGTTCAGGCAGATCATGAAAGACAAACGTATTCGAAAATGCTTCGAAGATTATTGCCAGGTGGGTTACCGTTCTCCTGAGCAAATCGCGAGGCCTCCAGAAAGGTCACCTCTCTTTCTGCATCCAAGTCTTTCTTGTTTCCACACAGGATGATAACGATGTTGGGGCTTGCCAGTGTCCGTGCATCTGTCAGCCAGTTAGTCAGTGTGTTGTAAGTTTCACGGCTGCAACACAAAAAGTTGAAGGTTGATGTTTAGTGTCAGTCTAGAATACTAAATGATCAAATGTTTTTATATACATATTGTTCAATTAAAACTACAAACTTTTTTTTCTATTGGCACTTTTTGCCACAAACAAAACATTTTTGCATGAATGTAGTTATGCAAATTATTATTATTTTTTTTAAGTGTGCACTACATTCCCCTTCGCCCTTTGTGTTTTGCATAAAATCATAGGAACAAAATTCCTTCAGTTAACCAATTAGCATGGTTTTAACTAGGACCCTGCAATTAATTGTTTTAGCAATATAATCACAATTTAGCAGAATGCAATTTTCAAATAATAAAGGCAGTCAGTTTTAGTCATTACATTTTTCTCTCCAGCCCCTTAGGTGGCAGTACAGCACTTAAAGAGGGTTTGCCTCCAGCCGGAAGGGACGATTCTTTCATGAACATAGAAGTAACAACGCACAGGTTAGAGTAAAGTCCTGCAACCATGGACTCTGGACAAGCAAGCTTTCAAGGCCATGAAAAAAAAGGACTCCCTGTAGTGAAACATCTACATGCCTGTTCTTAGTGCTTAAGAAAATCATAATAAAATTGTATTTGCAAAATGAGTTGAAAAATAATAGCAATTTAGTTTTTTGGCCAAATTGTACACCCCTAGTTTGATTACACAATATCCTAAACCTTAATTAGCCATCTTTAATTAGCAATCTGGACATAAAAGAGTAAGGCTGAACTGCAAACCTTCTCAGACATGGTTGTCCATCTAAACAAAAAGGTGAAGGAAAGATAAATCTAGTCAGGGACTTTGGGAGGCAGGAGAATTGGCCCTGTTGGTATCCTGGAACGAGTGGAAGAAGCTGCCCTGGTCAGATGAGTCATATTCAATTCAGCAAAAAAAAAACATCTAGTAAGGCTGAGCCTAAACTACTCTGCTGAAACTACTTACAGTTGCGTTTGCAGAGCAATGTCACTTTCCCATCAAAATAAAACACCATACATTTGTAGGTCTAGTGAAAAATGTAGAAAGTTTTAAAGGTTGTGAATACTTTAGAAAATCACTGCAGCGCAAAAAAACAAAACAAAGATTATGTCTAACTTGACATGTCAGGCTGTAAATATTCATCCCTGACACTGTTCTGAAACAGCCTGTTTCTATGGTAACATGAGGTCAGTGAGGTGAGGAAAAGGGAGGAGGCTGACGTATTAATGTTTAACAGCTGTTTTCACTGACACGCACAGGCTGATGTAACGCCACAAAGTGATGAAACAAGGCGACTCAAACTGAATCTTAGTTCATAGGTTACTTCTTTAGTTTTTCTTCCCTGCTGCACCCATACTGTTATTTGCCCCTTTCCTTTTAAACCAACTCCTATTTTTTTATGCTTTTCTCTTCATTGGGGAGGTTCATGACTCCCATATGTGCAATAAAAAAAAAAGCTCTCACTATTGGCTGCTTCGGCTTGACAGAACAGCCTTTAAGCTATTCTTCCAAACTGGACACTATCCTGCTGCTGGCAGGCAGGAGAGCCGGAGTTCAACTGTTTTTAACACTAGGACTCCCAGAATTCTGATCTGACTAGAACTCCCACTGACCTGCTCAGGTGTGGGCGGTGCTATCCAAAACTTGAACAAAAGTTTCACTATTGTCTGATGGGTCACTGATACATCTGTGCTTTCCCGTGGGTGGACGATTATCCTTGGACTTGCTGTCAGAATTTGAGCCACTTCTTACTGACCAGTCATCATCATCCGTCTCTCCATCTCTGCCCGAATCACTATTGTCAATATTTTGAAGCATTTCTAAAGCCCGTTTCACGGTTAAATTTCTTCCATTTTTTTATATTAGCCAAGAAATTCTAGATAGAATTTTGGTTGCTAGGCAACGGTATCCAACGTCAATCATCCGGGGGAAGACTTTATAATGCAACTAATAGAGCCGTCAAAATGACGGCTGTGGGAGATTGAAGTAAAATTAACCATATTTATTTTTTAAGTTTTCATTTTATTAAAAATAATACGTGAAAACGAAGGAAATATAGAAAAAATGAAAAGTCAGATAACATGAGTGACATATGATGCATGTAAATAAACTTTTCCTTTAAAATCTCAGAACCCTCAAAATGACGACCTTGGGAGTTCTAGCGTTAAGCACAGTCAAAGTGAATCTGAGTTCTGAGTCTGAGAAACGCGAGGCTGGGGGATGGTTCATTTTTAAATAGCGCTGACTCGGGGTTCCCTCTCGATATATTCTGACTCAATATTCTATATGTACAACTAGGGAGGTGAAGATGTTTT